ACTGGACCCGAAATGTTAACTCTGATTTCTCTCCACAGATGCTGCCAGACCTGCTCAGCTTTTCCAGCAATTTCTGTTTTTGTTTCTGATTTGCAGCATCTGCAGTTCTTTTGGTTTTTATGTACGAATCACCTTCTTGTGCTACGGTGCAGAGTGGATTATTTCTGTGATATTTAAATAACCTTAACAAAAGAAGCAAAGAACCAAGAAAGCATTAATTACAAAACTGCCCGCAGACAGTACATTTTAAAAACATATTCATTAAGCAATGTGGAACAAAGGAAATAAAACAATAACTGCTCCTTGATGGATAGCTAGGGCTAACTTTGGATACTTGAAGCTTTTACTATGATATCTGATTAAATTGTGCAAATTCCCTGGGTTTAAGGTTTGGGACACAGGCATAGTTTGGGTTACTGGGGACTGAGCAAGAAAGAACACAAGTTCATGCAATTATACTGCAATTATTTTGACAAATAGGCTTTAGTTTATAGAGTGAGCAATTTATAAATTCACTGCGAATGCATCAGCAGCTCTAGCGAAGACGGAAGTCTTCCTTAAATATTTAACATATTGTGTTGTCAGTCAAGTTAGCCACGAGTGTGATAGGCTGAACTGTCGTGTAGGGGTGGAATGCTGCTTCCCACAGTTTTGTACGATTTGTTAAAATGTGAAAGGAATTCATTTGTTGCTAAATCTCCTGCCAAGGACACGTAGATTTGCTGTTGTTTCCCTGACTCTGGCTATTTTAAAGAAAGATCGGTCTCCTCTCTACCTACCGACACTGGAATGGGACAAAGAAAAGGAACGTTTTTGCCCATTTGGCAGCCTCCTGCAAATGAGGTCTGCAGAAACTAACACATGCAAGTCTAGGAAGGACGGATTAAAGATATTGAATGTAAAACGATGTGAGCCAGGATAATTTAGCAATTTCTCTGACAGCTTCAAGATGACTTGGTTTCAGAAACTGCCTCCCTCATTTCAGAAGGAATTTGGAGACTTCACGACCAGTTAATGCACGAGCCCTGAGCTGGATTTCCGATCCTGAGATGCCAACTTGAACAGTGCTTACTTCTTCTGGAGTCAAGGGATTTAGCCTGCTGCAGGCATGAACTCGTCATCTTATAAACATTGGCTGATAGAGAGCCCTCGCCTTAGAAACCAGAGCGTCCCGGGATTCGCCAGCACCAATGGCTCACTCAGTACAGGGGCCTCCTCAGGCTGCTATGAGCAACTGTGGATCTCAACGGAGGTCTTCCTCACACTCGGCATCATCAGCCTGTTGGCCAACATTTTGGTCATTGCCGCCATCATCAAGAACAAGAACCTGCACTCACCAATGTACTTTTTCATTTGTAGTTTGGCAGTGGCCGACATGTTGGTTAGTGTGTCCAACGCCTGGGAGACAATCTTCATCGCCATGTTAAAGAGTAGGCATTTTGTTGCTCGAGACAGCTTGATAAAGAATATGGACAATGTGCTGGACTCCATGATCTGTACCTCTCTGCTTGCCTCCATTTGGAGCTTGCTGGCCATCGCCATCGACAGGTACATCACCATCTTCTACGCGCTGCACTACCACAACATTATGACAGTGAGAAGGGCGCTGGTGGTCATTGCTGGAACCTGGATGGCTTGCACGGTCTCGGGGATCCTGTTCATCATCTACTCCGAGAGCACCACAGTCGTCATCTGCCTTATCACCATGTTCTTCACCATGCTCGCCCTCATGGCCTCGCTCTACGTTCACATGTTCATGCTGGCACGCTTACACGTAAAGCGGATTGCCGCTTTGCCTGGCAATGGTGCCATCCACCACATGGCAAACATGAAAGGGGCCATCACCCTCACCATCCTCCTTGGGGTCTTTGTCGTCTGTTGGGCTCCTTTCTTCTTGCACCTCATCCTCATGATCTCCTGCCCCCGAAACCCGTACTGCCTTTGCTTCATGTCGCACTTCAACATGTATTTAATCCTCATCATGTGCAACTCAGTCATCGATCCACTCATCTACGCATTCCGCAGTCAGGAAATGCGCAAGACTTTCCAAGAAATAATCTGCTGCTACAGCCTGCATGGGATTTGTGACCTGACAAATAAATATTGATAAACTAAAGGGAAAGCAGTCAGACCATCATAAGACATTTTGTGCTGCAGTACATCTTAATAGAGGGAGGAAATTGTTCCGTGCTCCCTAAAGATATGTTGATGTTTTCCTTTGTATTACGCTATGGTTTCTTATTTCCTCAAGAGGCCTTGTTTCTCTTCACTGAAGGTTTTAGTTGTTTCCTGGAGTATTCTTCATCTCTCATGCCTCATGCCATATTCCCTGGATGTGAGCCTGGGCAGTGAGTATTGGGAGAACGTTTGATTGTGTTTGGATGGTAGGGTTTCACCAGGTTTCATCTGCAACTGAAGCCCACGTGTATCAGATATTACCAGTTGGCAATCAGAAGAGAAAGGGGAATCTGATTTTAATCTTCCCTAACCTAGGACATTGAGGCTAATTGTGACCCTCCCTAACAGGCAAGATCAGCCACTTCACTATAGCTGATTCAACTTACAGTGGAATCATTGAGTTTGTAGAGTACAGAAGGAGGCCAATCGACCCCCCATGCTTGTACCAGCTCTTTGAAAGGGTCATCCAATTTGCCTTCACACTTCAACTGTTTTCCCATAACCCTGCAATGTCATTCTCATCAGGCACATCTCCAATTGCTTTCCCATCCCTTCCCATCTCTTCTCTGCCAATTAATTTAAATCTTTGACCTCTGACTAAAGCTAGAACCTTCTGGCTCAAAACTAGAACCTCCTTGATCAGTGTGGTGAAGCTGAAATGGCCGACATCTTTGAGTTCAAAGGGAGACCCAGATGAAAAAGTTTGAAGGGGGAATCGAGCTGTATCCCATTTGTAGGAAGCTGCACTGATTCCCCTCCATTTGTTCCTGAGCATTCAGTTAATGTATTTCAGTAACATGTGTGTTCAGAAGTGTTTTTAAAATATCATCGACAACACACAATTCAAATGCATTTTTTATGGCTGTGAATCTAGAAGTTGATACTGAATTAAAAAGAGCTGCAAGTGGAATATGTTGCTTTTGACATTACCCTCAGCAATTGTGTGGGCTGGAAAGAAACAATAGAACTGGAATTCCTTGGGGATTCCTTTTAACCTGCATTCTCCCAAACACAGATTACACAAACATCTGTGTTCATGGTGGTTTCTAAGTATTGACGTTTTGTTTAGGTACCTGCTAGGCTATTTAGCTCACTTACTGCGGTTTATTGCAAGCTGTTGTTTCACAGGATTGTGGAATCATAGAATGGAAGAGAGAGGGTAGAGGACATTCAACCCCTCAAAGTTGTACTATTTCTCTCGGAGAGCCATCCAGTGATTTCTACTCCCTCCAACCCGATCTTTCCATATATTCTTCTGATTTTACCTCCTTTATATTTTTCTGCCAAATCCGTTTCTCCTTGTCTTCTTGCTTTCCTCTAACAAACTGCCTTTGCATCTATCACTCAATGTCATCCGCTATGTATTAATACCTGAGTGTTTATCAGGCAAACAGGCACATGTTATTCGATTGACTGTATGTAATGATAGTGCAATGTGGCTGTGTTGTTGATTAGTTATTTATGAACTTATTTATGTAAGGCATTGGTTACCTCACGATTGATCTTGGGACCAAGAGAGAGTTTAGCAAAAGCATTTGCTGCTAGCATTTTCTTACCAGGAATCCAGCATCACCTATGTATCAAAATGTAAAATAAATGTTCTGAAAATCCCATAATTTTGCATGTTTTTTTTGTGAAGCACATATCTATTTCTAGAGGGAAAACACATTGCTGTTTAGTAAGGCCACAGTAGTTTTACCAGATCTGGAGTCTGCTGTCTCATTTGAGAGAGACAGCAGGCTGAAAGTGGTTTAATCCAAGGGTCACCATGCCTCAGGCGAGGGGAGAGGTTGGGAAGGAGAGTCCTTCATGGTAACCTCAGCCAGTGTTGGAATTGAAGCCACATTGTTGACATCACTCTACATTGCAAATCATCCATCGGAGCTAATCAAGCCCTTTGCTGTTTAGTATGTTTGACAATTTACTCCTCACTGTTGTTCTTGCCTGATGTTAGTTCAATCCTGTGACTGGAAAGCTCAGTTTTAGCTCTAGTTTTCACTTGTGTTATAGTTCAGCAATTTTTTCATTGTTTAAGTATATGGACGAGTATATTTCAAGATTGAGACAAGGTACTGATCAACAAAAAGACCAAAAGGAAGAACAGGAGTGACCTGTCAAACCTTCACCACTATTCCTGGGAGGGTACTTGAGGTGGTAAACTCACAACCTTTAAAAAGTATTTAAGTCATAACATTCAAGGCAATGGGCCTATAGAAAGTGGGACTAACATAAATTTAAAGCAGTGTTTGTAGTGTAGTCTCAATGGATTGAAGGATGTCTTCTGTATTGTATGATTCTACAATTCAATATGATCAAGACTGTTTTTTGCTTTCAACTCCAGTTTCCTGCTTAGCCTTCATATCTTTCATCTCCCTGAGAAACCGAAAATCTATTTATCCCAGTCTTCTTGTGTTCAATGTAAGGAGCCCCCAGCACTGTGGATATGGGGTGCACAGAACCAGGAAGAGTCAGGATTTTCCATTGTATTTCCATTGAAATATTTTGTCTGCATTTTCGATGCTTAAGTGCATGCACAAGGGAGTGAATATTTTAAGATTACAATAAGGTTTTGACCTAGAGGCTGGTTTAGCCTGATTTGGGACATGCACAGGCAGAAAAACATACAAGTTAGGAGCATCCATAGGCCATTCATCCTCCCAAATCTGTTCTGCTGTTCAATAGAATCCTGATCATGGCCTTAATTCCAATTTCCTGACTACTTTGGCGTCCTTTTACTCCCTTGTCAGTTAAGAATCTATCTACTCCTGCCTTAAAAACATTCAATGTCCCTGCCTCCAATACCTTTGGGGAAGAGAGATGGGAATGGGATACCCTGTTTATTTTTAAGGGGAAAGACCAAGGACATGTTTTATATTTTATGTGGATGAGATGCTGGTATGGACCATTCACCTCTTTCACACAGTTAGATCTTTGAAGCTCTTAAACATGGAAAATTGGAGCATTCAGCCCTTTGAACTTACTGCACCATTCAATATGATCATAATTGATCATTAAATTCTGTAACCTGTTCTTTATTTTCTCCCCACGCCCTTTGATCCCTATAGCCCTAAGAACTATGTCTATCCCCACATTGAAAACTTTCAATGCTTTGGCCACAACTGCTTTCTGTCTGAGAGAATTCCACAGACTCACTATTCTCTGGGTGAATATTTGCTTGTATCATTTTCGAACTGAGACCTAGGTGTTCAGGTAAAGATAAGATTCATGAGGTCAGAGCAGTACATGGACTTTGGTAAAGCCTTTGACAAGGCTCTGCATGGAGACGAGTTGGTAAAGTTAGAGCACATGGGATTCAATGTATTGGCTTGACAGTAGGAGAAAGAGGGTGGTGTTGGAGGGTTGTTTTTTGGACTGGAGGCCTGTGACCAGTGGTATTCCACAGAGATCGGTACTGGGTCCACTTTTGTTTGTCGTTTGTATAAATAATGTGGATGAAATTTTAGTAGGCATGGTTAGTAAGTTCACAGATGACACCAAGATTGGTGGTATAGTAGGCAGTGAGGAAGGTTATATAAGATTACAAAGGGATCTTGACCAACTGGGTCAATAGACTGAGGAGTGGCCAATGGAGATTATGTTGGACAAGTATGTAGTATTGCATTTTGGTAAAGCAAACAAGAACAGGACTTAATCAATTAATGGTAGGGTCCTGTGTGGTGTTGTAGAACAAAGAGACCCGGGGGTTCAGGTACATAAGTCTTCGAAATTTGCATCACATGACAGGGTGGTTAAGAAGGCATTTAGCACACTTGCCTTCATTGCTCAGGCTTTTGAGTATAGGAATTGGGACATCATGTTAAGGCTGTACAGGACATTGATGAGGCCTCTTCTGGAGTACTGTGTGCAGTTCTAGTCGCCCTGTTATTGGAAGGATATTATTAATCTGGAGAGGTTTCAGAAAAGACTTACCAGGATGTTGCCGGGAATGGAGGGTTTTAGTTATAAGGAGAGGTTAGATAGGCTGACACTTTTTCACTGGAGCGTAAGAGGTTGAAGGGTGACCTTACAGAGTTTTATAAAATCTTGAGGGTCATAGATAAGGTGAACAGCAAGGGTCTTTGCCTTAGGGTGGGGGAGTTCGAAACTAGGGGCCATATTTTTAAGGTGAGAGGGGAAAAATTTAAAAAGGATGTGAGGGCAATGTTTTTTTTACAGAGTGTGGTTTGTATGTATAATGAACTACCAGAGGAAGTGGTGGATACAGGTACAGGTGCAACATTTAAACAGACATTTGGACAAGTGCATGAACAGAAAAGGTTTGGAGTGACATGGACCAAATGCAGGCAGCTGGGACTAATATAGTCTGGAAACAAGGTTGGCATGGGCTAGTTGGACTGGAGGGTCTGTTTCCATGTTGCATGACTTTATGGCTCTAAGCAAATGCCAGGAGGTGGGTGTGGAGTATTGACAGCGTGTCTTGGACAGCGATCACACTATTGTAGGATAAGAGAAGGCTAGGATTAGGCTACATAGCCCCATAAGCTTCACCTGCCTTGCACTGAGATCGTGGCTGATCTTAGTCTACAATAGAATATCATTCTAATCACATGGGGGTGCAATAATTAAGTAATGCTGGGAAAAAAGGAACAAGCTGTCGAACAAAAACAGAAGTTGCTGGAAAAGCTCAGCAGGTCTGGCAGGATCTATGAAGAAAAAATCAGTTAATATTTCGGGTCCAGTGACCCTTCCTCAGAAATAAAAGCCTTTCGAAGCCTTTCATCTTGCACCTCATCAGGACAGGTGCAAGATTGTCAAACTTCAAAGGGAACAGCAATTTATCCTGCCTGAGAAAATGATGCTGACTGGTTGACTGGTCAGAACCAACTTTGCCACATTTTCCTTTTCTGCAATACTCACTGTCATTGCTCTTCTCTAACATTGCATTTTGATAAAAGCAGGTGGATTGGG